AACAGTGTGAGCCAGGTTGCTGGAGTCCCAGATATGGCAGCTGTCTGCTGCCCCGCGGAAGGGCTCACCAGAGCAACGATGGCCTCTGACAGCAAGTCAGAGCTCTCACCTCAGTGCCATATAACTCAGTTCTTCTCCATAAGTCTCTGTGCCTTTCAAGCTGCCTCCCCCATGCAGGAGCTGGAGCTATGAGTCTGAGGAAGTCCGAGCATGGGCCCTTTAAGAGGAACTGTCTGGGGCACCAGAAGCCTCAGTCTCTCTCAGCCTCAGTTCCCGCTGGTTTTACAGCCAGAAGTTATGGGGACTTCTCTTCCTGGCACTGGAACCCTGAGCTGGGGGCCTGGTGTGGGAGTGGCACCCTTCGCTCCTCAGGGAGGCCTTTCACAGCTGAAGTGTCCCTCTTGATTTTTATCTGCCACACATGGGTGTGGGACCAGCCCATCCACGCCTCTGCCCCTCCTACCAGTCTCGATGTGGCTTCTTTAATTTTGTAGTTGTAGGACTTCCATTCAGCTCGATTTTAGGCAGTTCTGAATGATGGTTGTTCTGCAGTTTAGTTGTAATTTTGGTGTGGTTGTGAGAAGAGGCGATACTACGTTTACCTACGCCGCCATCCAGACTGGAAGGTCTATGCCATCTTTCTTATATTATTTACTCATATCTCCATTTAGTCAGACAAGTAGCCTGATGAGCAATTGTAGTGGTTTCCACTCCCAGTCCTTTACCACTTGACACTTCCTTCCTCTTTCCCTTCCTTTTTTCCTTTCTTTCTCAGCACTTAATTATTATTTTTTCCTTTATTGCTTTTAGAGAGAGAGGATGGGAGGGAGAGAGAGATAGAAACATCTATGAGAGTGAACATCGATTGGCCGCCTCCTGCATGCCCCCCACTGGGGATCAGGCCCACAACCTGGGCATGTGCCCTGACCAGGAATTGAACCGGCGACCTCTTGGTGCAGGGGTCGATGCTCAACCACTGAGCCACTCCAGCCGCACCTTTCTCAGCACTTTAATGATACCTTTCTATTTTCTTCGACCTTCCATAATTTCTCTTGAAAATTCAGCCTTTAGTCTTAATGTTGCTTTTTGAGGATAATGTGTCTTATTTTCCCCTGGCTGTATTTGAGATTTTCTCTTTACTTTTAGTTTTAGCAATTTGACTATGTTGTGCTTACATGTGATTTTTTAAATATTTACCTGACATAAAGTTCTCAAACTTCTTGAATCAGTGTTTTCAAATGTAGGTTTTAGTATTCAGAAATTATGAGACCAGTGGATAAAGGGATGGCTGTCATTGAAAAGACAGTTTGCTACTCATAGTTCCCAAGAGGAGGTACATTGCATGCCATGCGGGGGGCACACAGGGGAACACCAGGGTTGGCAGATGGAGTGAGCGGAACACATGGGCCAGAGCCTCTGTTTTGATTTCTGTGGGAAGGCGAGGCAAGGCAGGACAAGCAGGCTTAGGATTGGCTAGTTTGAGTAATTCCAGTGGGCTCTCTTTCAAAGAGATACCTGCACTCTAACATTTACATCATTATTCACAATAGCCAGATATGGAAACAACCTAAGTGTCTACTGATGGATGAACAGAGAAAGAAAATGTTATATATATGTGTGTGTGTGTGTGTGTGTATATATATATATATATATATATATATATATAATATATTATATAAAACAATATTATCCAGTCTTAAAACAGAAGGAGATCCTGCTATTCACAACACATGAGTGAACCTATAGGACATTATGCTAAGTGAAATAAGCCAGACACAGAAAGAAAAAGTAATGCATAATTTCACTAATCTAAAACTGCTGAACTCTCTTTCAATTATAAAGGACGAATGAGTTCTGGAGTTCTTAAGTAGAGCATGGTGATGTATAGTTAATAATACTATATTGTATACCTGAAGTTTGCTAAGAGAATAGATTGAAAGTATTTCACCACACACACACACACACACACACACACGCACGAAATGGTAACTATGTAATGTGGTGAATATATTAATCAGCTTGATTGTGGTAATCATTTCACAATGCATATGTATATCAAAATATCACATTGTACATTTTATTTATTTATTTATTTTTTATTTTTTTGGTACATGCCCCTAGCAGGAACCAAACCTGGGACTCTCTGGTCCACAGGCTGACGCTCAAACCGCTGAGCCAAACCGGCCAGTGCTCATTGTATACTTTAAATACATACAATTTTTATTTGACAATTTTACCTCAATAAACCTAGAAATAATAATAATAATATTTGCCATTACTATTTTTTCAAACAATGTAAAAGCCATAGTTAGCTCACGAGGCTGCACACACATCTTTTACAACCCGAGCTGTTGTTTTCAGTTTTCTCTCTGTGCTTCAGCTTGTTGTTGTCTTGTGTCCAAATTCACCAATTCTGTCATCTGTTTTATGTAAGCTGCTGTTAAATTTATACAACGAGTTCTTAACCTTAAACATTTTATTTTAGTCCAGCCGGTGTGGCTCAGAGGTTGGGCGTCGACCCCTGCACCAACAGGTCACTGGTTCAATTCCCGGTGAGGGCACATGCCCAGGCTGTGGGCCAGATCCCCAGAGCAAGGCATGCAGGAGGCGGCCAATCAATGTTCTCTCTCATCAATGTTTCTATCTCTCTCTCCCTCTCCCTCTAAAATCAATAAAGAAAAAAAAATTAAAATTGTTTTAAAATTTTAAGTTCTAAAATGTACATTTGATTTTTAAAATAGTTTACAGTCCTGTTAAAATTCTCCATCTTTTCGTCAATTTTGTACGTCTTTTCCCACTGTTCTTTCTAACATAGTTATGATAGGTATTTTAAAGTCCTTATCTGCTAACATCAGCATCTGGATCATCTTTGGGTCTTTACTTTTACTGCATGTTTGTATTTGTTGATTGTTGGTCACACTTTGCTGCCTGTGGGACTTCCCACAAGTTGTTATTATGTACAGGACATTTTTACAAGAGAACCATAGAAATTGAAGACAATATTAAGCATCCCCAAGAGGCGTTACCTTTCCTCTGTTAAATGCATCCTAACAAACAATTGAGTTGAGGTAGAGTACATTTTTAGTTAGACCCAGTCTTCCCTGATCTGTGTTAGACACTGCTTTTTCAAGTTCTTAATTGAGAGTCTGGCAGATTTCTGTCTTTTCAGGACTTAAAAACAGCAAAGGATTCTGTTCTATCCTTTGGACATTTGAGTTTAGCTCTTTAGCCTCCTACACAGACAACTTCAAAATCTAGCAGATGCCTTGATAGGGAGGCTAGCCACACGCGTGAGGCAAGACCCCTCTCTCCGGTACTGGAACAAGACAAGAAATCATTTCCCAGGTACTAGTGGACTGTGGGGGATATTACTCTGCCTTTCCAGCTCAGTCTTCTCCTGGAGCATGGGACCCCCACATTTGATTGACAGATCTCTTCCATCTTCAGTCCCGAAAGTTCGCCCAGTAGAGGTGTTTTGCTTACTTTTCTTATTGTCCAGCTCAGAAGATTCAAAATCTGGAAAATATCTTGAGGTGAAGACCTCTCCTGTGTTTTCAGGGAGGCTGTGTCTTCTAAACACTGTTAAATTAAAAGCTTTTTAACAAAAAGGGTTTTTTGGGCCATAAAGAACTAGTCCTGTCCTGGCCGGTTTGGCGCAGCGGTTGGAGCGTCGGCCTGTGGACCAGAGGGTCCTGGGTTCGGTTCCTGCTAGGGGCATGTACCAAAAAAAAAAAAAAAAGAACTAGTCCTGAGGCATGAAGCCTTAAACCACCAGCAGCAGTGCTCGGTGGAGAAAGCCCTGTGTTTGTTGTCCTGGTGTCAGGGAGCACTTTTTATACATTATATTTTAGGGAAGAAAGTTGTAAGATGTTTTGAAAGAATTTACATTGGCTATAGATAATGGGGGTGAAATAATGTGAAGCAGGGGTGAGGGTGGGGAGACAGTTCTAAGACAGGAGCCCAGTCTGTACAGAAGAAATATTTACTACTTTTGAATAGATAGAGGCAACATTCCTGAAAGTTCATGCACACGCAGCGTGCAGTGGCCTATTTAGTGGTCAGCTAAGTAGATGCCTGGAGGTTGATTCAAAGCTCCAACATGCATTCAGAAATTTGAGCAGTCTTTGGTCTGGTGGCTCCCAGGGGGTACGGGTCTAACTGCTCTGGCTCTTTCACTCTCCAGCTCATTGTAATTTAATTGAAAACATCTCAGAATATTTTTCTTGTCAGCACCATGAAACTCCAGAAGATAGTGTTTGTTTCTCAAGTTCCCCAGCCTCCTGTGTCACCCCAGTGCTTCTAAATGTCCCATTTGGAGAAGAGGCCATACTTTTAAGATGCTAGTCTGTCATACCAATCTGCTCAGCTACCAAAAGTTGTGTTGGCCTCTATTCCCCCAGAAAAATCCCTGACAAAGATTTTTTCCACCAACACATCCGGTTCCTCTGAGCTCTCTTTCAACGAGGTCCCATCCCTGGGCATCTGTAGAGCATCTGTTTTAGCAAGAATCCTGCTAAGTCAGTGCAGCCAGAATCCCCCATCTTTGATATCTAATTACCCTTGTTAAAGGACTGGTTTCCTCATCCTCCACCATCCCTCAGGTAATGTCCATCACCCTGGCCTACCTTCAGCAAGGATCTTGTTAGGTCAGTTTATGTTTCCTGTTAGTAATTGTTCATTCACAGACTCTCACTCTGCTCCTTGACTATAAGTTCTCACATTTTCTTGTCATATTCTGACGTTGCAGTAGGTTTTGACATTGCAGTAGTTTCTGACATTGCACTAGTTTCTGACATTGCAATAGTTCTGTTAGATAGGACAAGGGTCTCCAGGTCTTGGCAGTTCTTACTACATGCTATTTTTGCTAAATGTTAAAATGTGGCTCAGTGTTTTGCAAACCAGCTATAAATAAGGTGAGCTTGTCAGGAACTCAAAGAGTAAATGTAGATAACTGCAAAGAAGAAATCAACATGTAATTGATCAAATGGTGGATATAAGCAATGACTAAGCCTCCAGTTCAAGGAGGTAGAGCTTTGGATGTGAATCCCCTGTCTGCTTTAATCCTGCAAGTAAGTAAAACTACCTTGTGAGAACAATATCTAGCTCTTGAATAGAACATCCCAAGTGGCTAACCCCTTGAGTTTGGTAACAGCCCCTGTACCTATCATCAGAGTCCCTCTGAATAAAGTCTTCCTTTCTTTTGTTTTAAATCCTTACCCAAGGACATTTTTCCATTTATTTTTAGACAGAGTGGGAGGGAGACAGAGAGAGAACATTGATGTGAGAGACACATTGATTGGTCGCCTCCTGCACAACCCTGACCAGGGCTGGGGACTGAACCACAACCAAGTTATGTGCTCTTGACCAGAATTGAACCTGTGACTCTTTGGCCCACAGGCTGACCCTCTAACCACTAAGCCAAACCAGCTAGGGCAATAAAGTCTTTCTTACCATTCTTTAACAAGTATCGTAATAATTTTAACAGCTCTTTGTCTAATTTTCAGTTCCTAGCAAAGAAGTTGTCTGGCCATTGTCAGTATACCTAAGATGGGCCTTTTTTGTTCTGGAATTTGGGTTTATCTAGTCCTCTTTGCTATCATAAGCTGTCTACTATCTTTGAAAATATGATTTTTAAATTTAACTTCTTTTTCCAAGTAGGAGAGATGACCTCCTGCTATGTAGTACATCTTACCCAGAAGCAGAGCCATAATCATAGTTTAAAATTACTTTGTAATTTAATAAACTGTAAAACTTCATAAGGACAAGGACAGTGACTCTCTTGTACAAAGATACATCGGTAGCACTTAGCAGTTTCTGAAGACTTTCAAGGACTTCTTATGTATGTTGTGAATAAAACCCAATCAAACACAAACAGGAATTTGCAGCAAAGGAATATAAGTTTAAGAATATGGTGCCAAACTCGGCGTCACAGGTGAGCCAATGCTCTAAGACCTGGCTCCCCAACGGCTTCTAGGATATGGGTTATATTGGGGAAAAATCATTAAACACACAGTGACTAAGGGAGTTAGGGTTGTGGTCAGGGTCACAGTCTCTGTTGATTGGTTGGTGCAAGGATAGGGGTTGTTGGTCATTACATTTGGTCCTGATGTCTGTCTCTTTCCTAAGGGTGTGGTTAGTGGGGTTGTTTTGTTTTTCTGGGTCTGGAGCTGAAACACAGTTAAGGCCTAGATGTTATCTTTAGTTTGACTAACACTCTGTCCCTGTGGTCAGCAGACCTAAAGCTTTGTTCCTAAGATTCTTGGATGCTGACCAGAACTGAATTGTCAGGAGGGCTTAATGATTAAGGGAGTGTCCGTGCAAAGGAGAGGGAGATGAGTGAGTCAGGGTGCTCCTGAGCTGGGCAAGACTAGTTTGAATCAAAAGGAAAAAAGGAGAAAAGTTTAGATTAAAGAAATAAAGTTTCTGCTCAGTTATGTTTTCAGTCAAGGAACAACACGTGAGAGCCAGCCAGACACCATCAGACTGTGTGGTAGTTCAGTCATGACCATGCATTCTCAAGAGGAATATCACTTCCAAGCAGGCTAACGTTGGCTTCTAGGGAATGAAAAAAAATCTCAGATATTAGAATGGTATGTGGTCTTCTAAAGTACCAAAGTACATAAACAGAAAAACAGTATATTTGTGCTACTGAAATGTCATAAATAGGGAGCTGTAGGGAAAAAAGTCTGTAAGGAATTCTAAAAAAAATAATAAAAAAAAGATTGAAACAAACTTCTTGACAGCACATTCCTAAATTACTAACTGGAACTTCAGCATATTGGTTTATTTGTTTATTTGTTTGGGGGCAGGGGTAGAGAAAAGAAATACCAGTATAAGGAACGTGATTTTCCAGTGAACACATTACTATTCAGAAACAAGGAAGAGTCTCAGGGCAGGGGTAATGAATTACATTCACCTTTGCATGAGTCACACAGTTTAAATAAATGTATAGTGAATAAATAAATAAATGGGCCCTGGCCAGTTTTGCTCAGTGGTTAGAGCGACGGACTGCAGACCAAAGAGTCTCAGGTCAAAGGCATGTACCTTAGTTTTGGTTTGATCCCAGGTCCTGGTTGGGGTCATGGGGGAGGCAACTTATCACATCAATATATATATTTTTCTCTCTCTCCCTTCCTCCCTCCCACTCTATCTAAAAATCAATGTAAAAATATCCTTGGTTGAGGATTAAAATTAAAAAAAAAGTTGGTGTAGAGTGTTGGCTGATCATTTCCCCTAGGCATCTATAGTTATTAACGCCTCTATTATTTATTTATTAATTTAAAATTTTTTCCCCTTTATTGATTTTTAGAGACAGAGGAAGTGAGAAAGAGAGAGAGACAGAAACATCGATGAGAGAGAACATCGATTGGCCACCTACTGCATGCCCCGCACTGAGGATCGGGCCCACAACCTGGGCATGTGTCTTGACCGGGAATTGAACCAGCAACCTCTTGGTGCATGGGTCAATGCTCAACCACTGAGCTACACCGACCAGACAATGCCTCTTTTATTTAGAACATAATATAAAATCATTCAAATTAATTAGATAATTTCTGTATTTATTATTGCATAGTTCCTTCTCCTATTTATTTACAAGTATATTCTAATGACCAAGAATGTATAGCAGTTGCCCTGGCCAGTTTGGCTCAGCAGTTGGAGCATCGGCCTGCGGACCAGAGAGTTCCGGGTTCGGTTTCCTCTAGGGGCACATACCACAAAAAAAAAAAAAAAAAAAAGAATGTACAGCAGTTGATTGTAATCTTAGTTCTATAAGTAGTATTATTTCCATGCAGGAGCTAAATGTTGTTTCCTGTCTCTCTCTCCAGTTTTGTGGTTGAAACTGAGGAACTGTGTAATTCCTGAGGCTGAGTTTCTTAGAAATTTAGTGCAAATAATAATCAAGTGATGATGAGCAAATTCTTGTTAAACAAGAAATTCACTTGATGGTGATCAGAAGCCAGAAACGCCATCTGAAAGAGTAATAACATATAAGCAAGAGTTATATGTTATTAAAAACTTAAATGAGGAGACATGCAGTCTACTGAATGGCAATTCAGAGCTGCTGTCCTCAGAAAGGGCATAATCTGATTCGGGCCACATGATTCCGACACAGAATTGAGAGTGTAAAACAGTATGTAGCTAATCCTGATATGACATAAAATGGTTTTTCATGCTTGAATAGTTCTGCTGAGGGCTGGAAGTGTGAAGGAAGGTTTCACAAAGAAGGTAAGGATGATTAGTCCAGTTGCGAATTGATGTTTGATATGCTGAAGATAACAAAAATGTGTCACACTAGGGATTTAGACAGTGCCTGCCTTCAGGGCTATCTGGGACCCAGAGATAGTATTAAAAATAGTTACCATTTACTGAGTACTTTGCTCTTGGCCATAAATTCCTTGGGGACCACAATGGAACAATTCATTGACATCTGTGTTACAAAAATTTATGACTCTACTCTGGGTAAAATATTTTTCAAGTTCTTTGCTAGCAAGATGACCTAATCCAATTATAAGCAAATGATTCTTAAAAGTCATTTTTAATGATAGATCAGTATATAATTTTTATATATAACTAAAAAGAAATTCTAAGAGCAAAATGACATTAGTATTACAAAATTTCTCCATTTCTTCTTATTTATTTACATGAAAAAAGATTTTTAATGTTTATACATATAAAATTTAAAATAAGAATAAAATTGAAAATGAACCCTGAATCATTCTAGCAATAACCTTTAACCCATATATATGTAAATTAAAATCGAAAACACCCATCCACCCATTAAAAACTGTTTTTTCAATAAAGTTGAATTTTTACATTTTACTATTTTTTGACATTTGTAATATATTTTATTAATTTTGTAATTATAATTATATCTCAATTCAAAATAAATTTTAAACACTTGGAGAAGACTCACCAAAAATTAAGACTAACTTAATTCCAAAATATATATTTTGTTACAGAGTAATATGAAAAGTGATCAATTAAATCTCCATATAAATCTGTTGTAAATCTTTGCAGATTTCTGAGCAGCACATGCCAAGCTTTCAAACACCACCCAGGGGAGAGGAGAGCTAGCAGGCAGGCACAGCTGTGCAGTCAGACCCACCCACGGTCTAGATACTGAAATTAACAGGAAGAATGTTTATAGAACTAGGAAAAACATGTTACCTATGGAGAAAATGGATGTGGGTGGGAACAGTACAAAGTATCAGGGAGAGAAGATAACTGCAATAACTAAAACATTTTAGATCAGAAAAGTAGTCTCTCAGATAAAAAATTGATTGGACAGGATTAATAAAAGATTTTATAGAGAAAAGAAAAGCTAGGTGTACTTGAAAATAGAAAACCAAAGTGGTTTTTCAAGATATTAAAACATCATAATTTACAGAGAATTAAAAACATACATGATACAGAGATCTACTGAACATTTTACCCAACAATAGCAGAATGTTCATTCTTCTCACGTGCTCATGGAATATTCCACAGGACAGACTGTATGCTAGACCATAACACAAGCCTCAGTAAATTTTAAAGGATATAAATTATACAAAGTATATTCTCTCACCATAATGAGATAAAATTAGAAATCAATAGCATATGTAAATCAAAGGGACGCACTGATAGAGGAAGTAAACCGCCATTTTAGAAAAAACAAGTACCCAGGAGATAACCAGACCCTTTTGCTTCCCAGGAGATAACTAGACCCTCTTGCCTCCTAGAGACAACCAGACCCTTTTCTTTCCTGCTTCTGTAAGCTGCTCACCGCTCTCTCCTCTAAAGAATGCCTGCCCAGCCGGCTGTAAAGGTAGGCGCGCCCTGCAACTTGGGGCCCAGAATTTGGAGACTGTCTCCTCCGTCCGCATGCGTGAATAAAGGAAACTCTTCGCTTCCTCCGGTGTTCGGTCTGAGTCTTTTTCGTAACACCATAATAAAGCAATGTTAAAAGAAAGAACAAAGTTAGAGGACTCACATTTTCTGATTTCAAACTTACTAAACTATAGCAATCAAGATAGTCTGGCACAGGCAAAAGGCAGAGGTATAGCGATGGAATAGAATCAAGAGTCCAAAAATAAATCGTCTTATTCGTGGTCAATCGATTTCGACAAGGTTGGGAAAAGAATAGTCTTTTCAACAAATGGTGCTGAGATACAGGATATCCATGGGCAAAAGAATAAACGTGGGCCCTTATATTACAGCATACATAAAAATGAACTCAAAATAGATTACAGGCCTGAATATAAGAGCTAAAACTGGAAGAAAGCGGGTAAATCATGACCATGGAGTAGGGAATATCATATTTTTAGATACAATACCAAAAGCATTCACTATAGAAGAAAAACTACTGTACATACATTGTACTTCATCAAAATTTAAAAACTTTTGTGCTTCAAAGGACATCATCAGGAATGTGAGGAGAGGTTCACAGCCACTCTCGAGCGCCAGTACCCTCTCTAGCTCACGGAGCCCCAGCCCAACAAGGGTCATAAGTAAGGCAGTCTCTGTATCATCCCTCCTACAAAACAGACTGCCTGCAAACCCACCAGTGGTAAAGCACGGGAGAAGCAACTGGCTACGGAGGCCGCTGGCAAGAGTGCGCCTTCTACTGGAGGACTGAAGAACTCTCATCGTCAGCGGCCAGGTACTGTGGCATTTTGTGAAATTCGAAGTTATCAGCAGTCCGCTGAACTTCTGATTTGCAAACTTCCCATCCTGTCTGGTGTGAGAAGTTGCTCAGGACTTCAAACAGATCTGCACTTCCAGAGGGCAGCTATTGCTGCTTTGCTGGAGGCAAGTGAGGCCCACCTGGTTGGCCTTTTGAAAACACCAGTCTGTGTGCTATCCAAGCCAAACGTGTAACAGTTATGCCAGAAAACATCGAGCTAGCATGCTGTATACATGGAGAACATGTTTAAGAGTCCACTATGGTAAGAACCATTTCATTCTTCAAAAAAATTTTTTTCTCTTCTTCCTGTTATTGGTGGTTCTGAACATTAGCTATTTTTCCCCATTGGGTCAAAAGTTACCTAAGTGTATGATTTCAAGTGGGAAGTAGGGGACAGAAATCAGGTATTGTCAGTTTTTCCATTTTCATTTGTGTGTGAATTTTTTAAATGCAAACACGGGGACAGAAAGCATTAATGCAAGTCAAAACGTTTCAGGGAACACGTTTCAGCAGTTCAACTTTGTAACAATTATAAATAAATCTGTTCAATTTTTCTGGACAACGACAGCATTTGGACTTTTTAAAAAACAAGTAAATTTCTTATTGATGGCAACTAAATGATGTTTGTACATTTTAAAAAATTCTTTTTTAAATCTTCACCTAAGGATAATTTTCCATTTATCTTCAGATAGAGTGGGAAGGAGAGAGAGAGAGAGAGAGAGAGAGAGAGAGAGAGAGAGAGAAACATCGATTGTTTGCCTCCCGAATGACCCCTACCAGGGCTGGGGATAGAACCGCAACTGAGGTATGTGCCCTTGACCAGACTGAACCTGAGACTCTTTGGTCCGTGGGCTGATGTTCTAACTGCTGAGCCAAACCATCCAGGGCTGTTTGTACATTTTTACCATACAGTGGATTCCATCCATTCACTATACTTTTCTGAGTTGTCCTACATGCAAGTACATATTTTTAATGTTGTCTGTCTTCTGCGCTGTTCCTGTAAATTTTTCATTAAAATACTTTAAACTATAAAAAAGAGAATGTGAGGAGACAATTCATAGAATTGGAAAGAAATTTGCAAATCGTACATCTGATAAAGGATTTGTATCTAGAATACATGAAAAATCTTACAACTCAATAATAAAAGATGGGCAATAGATCTGAATATACAAATATCAAAGAAGATAAACAAATGGCCAGCGCACACACACAAACACACACAAAATGCTTAATATCATTAGCTATTAGGTAAATGTAAATGAAAACCACAGTGGGATACCGCCAACTAGGATGTCGATAATAAAGAAGACAGTAAAAAGTGTTAGTGGGAATGTGGAGAAATTGAAACCCTCATACATTGCTGGTAGAAATGTAAAAATGGTGCAGCTGCTTTGGAAAGAAGTCTGGCAATTCCTCAAATAATTAAACAGAAGGTTACCATTTAACTCAATGATTCTACTCCTAGCTGAGAACATATTCCCACACAAAAACTTGTACCCATCAATGTTTATAACAGCATTATGCAAAATAGCCCCAAAGTGGGAACAACCCAAATGTCCATCAATTGTTAAATGGATAAATAAATTTGGTATATCCATACAATAGAATATTATTCAACATGATCACCAAATATCACATATTATATTATTCTATTCATATGAAATATTGAGAATAAGCAAATCTATAGAAACAGAAAGAAAATTAGTGTTTGTCTAGGGCTGGGGAGCTTGGGAAAAATTGGGATTGACTGTTAAGGTTTGGGGTTTGTTTTTGAGATGATAAAAATGTTTCTAAAATTAATTGTGGTGATGGTTACAGAACTGTGAATATGCTAAAAACCATTGAATTTACACTTTAAATGAGTGGATTGTATGATATGTGAATTATATCTCAATTAAGCTTTTTTTTAAAGATAATTGGAGAGGTGGGTAGGGTTGGTTGGTTACAGGTAGCAGAATGTCACCAAAATAGTTTGAAAAAGGCAATGAGATACAAATACAATATGAGTAGATATGAACAGAATAGGCAGCAAGAGTTTAGCAGTGGTTGTTAGGTGGCTATATGAACCTTTTTCTTTGTTTTTGTTAATCCTTACCTGAGGATATTTTTCCACTGACTTTTTTTTTTTTTTTTTTGCAGATAGAGTGGAAGGGAGAAAGGGGGTGGGGGAGAGAAACATGGATATGAGAGAAACATTGATTGGAGGCCTCCTGCACAATCCTGACTGGAGACGGGGATCGAACCTGCAACCCAGGTATGTGCACTTGACCAGGAGTCGAACGAGTGACCCTTTGGTCTGGGGGTTGACGCTCTAATCACTGAGCCAAACTGGCCAGGGCCTTATGAACCTTTTAATGGGGAAGGAGAGAGTAATTACAGGGATAGTCAGTTCCATCACAGGGAATGTACTTTGTTCTCAGTGAGGAAGCTCTCTTGTCTCAAGGTACACACCAGGGTTCCTCAACCTCAGCACTGTTGACATTTGGGCTTGAACACTGTTATGGTGAGTTGTAGTAAAATGTTTAGCAGCATCTCTGGCTTCTACCCACTAGATGGCAATAACAACTTCCCAATTCTCCCACTTATGACAAACTCAAATGTCTCCAGACATTGCCATAAGGCCAAAATCACTCCTGGTTGAGAACCACTGATTTACATGTAGGTTTTTATAGGTTAGGAATATGTGGTTTACTGGTACATATTTGACAGCCAACTGCCTTGGGGAAAAAGCCTTAGTTTGTACCGTTTGCCAATTTCAATGGTGTAAAGACTCCCGCAGTGGCTTATTCCAAACTACAAATGAATTAACCTGCTTGCAAAACTCCTCAAGATTTAACAGTCAGCTTTAGCAAGCTGATGCAAGCCAGCTGCAGCCCATTTCAGAGTGTATTACAGGGCTTGAGGCAACAGAGCACTCCATCCCAGGGTATCTGAGACTGCTGAGGTCACAGTGATCCCTGGGCCCGGGGTCCTAGCAACCAGGAAGAGGCCCAGAGCTCCAACTTTCAGTGTGGACCTTGCCACTTATTCTCAATCCTCTCTATCAAGTTATAAGGAGATTTGTTTTCCTTGAAACTCCTCAGTGGAGCTGCTGGAACTTAAGTCTGAGATGGAAACGCCTTTCGCATTTAGGCAGGGCTGAGCCCATGAGACTGTTTTTTCCTGGCCAGTCAAGCAGACAAATTGGGTTCAAGGCCTCTAGAGAAAGCATGTAATAATGTAGACTCAAGGTCCTGGCAGATTTGTGTTCCTCTTACATTGCTATTAGGTAATAAGTCATCTGGGTTGAACTTGTGTAGCTTAAAATGGTCCAAAGAGAACATCTAGAGTAGGGTACTTGCAGTAGGGTTAAGACAGATGTGTAGAATGTTGGACAAGGGTCAGTCAAATCCCTGTGTGGTGAGAGGAAAGATGGTGATTGGCGTATGAAGTCAGAATAGACGTTTTAGAAATAATTCTGAAGATCAATTTGTGCACTGATTTTCCTGAAGTTTCTTTGAGAATCAGGCCAGGTCCAGGTAAATTCTCAATTCTGAGTATGATGCCTTAGCCTTTACTGTGAAGTCTGCTAATAGGTGACAGATTGTGTCAGTATTAGAGTATTTAAATATCTTGAATAGAAGGTATTGGAATTGGTACTGAACAACATACATTTTTGATAAAATAATACTGTAACGTTAGCAGTGATGACAAAAAAAATAAAAGTGGCAGTTTTACACTAAAATATCAAGGAGAAAAAGTTACCTATAAAATTATATCAGTTGCTATAAAATATCAAAGTCACATAGTAAAAGCACTACCATATGAGCACAGATGTTTAGAATAAACAACTCAGATCTGGATTTTTCTGACTGGTTCTAATTTCTGGCATTCACCTTTACGTTCTTTGTGAATAGCAGCACCACAGTGTCATGTTCATTCATACATAAACTTCTTTAAAACTTCAAAGGTCTCAATTTGGCCTTTTAATTCTGGCTCATTTATTTAACTATTTTGACAAGGAAAGTAGAAAATAAGTTTTGAGATAAATGTAAATACCTGGCAGTATATACCGATTTTCACCTTTCAAACTTTTCTTGCCTCCCCTTCTCCTTCCCCCCCTCCAGTCCGTTCTTCCTCTATTCTATCATTTGTTAACAAAGATGTTTGAGTATCTACTCTGGTACTCAGCTCTTTGGTGCTAAGGAGTTAGAGGCTATGAGTGGATTTTATTCCCAACTTGGTGAGTAAAATAATCAAGAAATTAACACTAATTTGCAACAAGGAGGTGATGACAGTCAGAGGAAACTCTGGGAAACTATAAAGAGAGAGGTACTTAACAGCCTGGCAGTTCTTCAAAGACTTAAACATGGTTCCCATAAGACCCAGCAATTCTATTCTGTGTACACCAAAAAGAATTAAAAATATATTGTCCACATAAACACTTGTAAAACATAGCAGCATTAGTCATAGTAGGGCCCAAATAGGAACAACCCAGATATACAGCAACTGATAAATAGACAAATAAAATGTGTTATATCCATATAGTGGAGTATTTTTTGGCAATGAAAAGGAATGTACTGACTCATGCTTCAGCATGAATGAACCTTGAAAATATTATGCTAAGTGGAAAAAGCCAGTCAGAAAAAAACACTTATTATATAATTCCATGTATATGAAATATCTAGAATAGGTTAATCTATAGAGACAGAACGTGGCCCAGGGCTGGGGTTCGGGGAAGGAGATGAGTGGAGTGATAGCTAAAGAGCTCCTTTGGGTGTAATCAAAATGTTCTAAAATTGATCATTTTTGCATAACCTGTGAACAAAAAAAACCAATTTATTTGTACACCTTAAATGGATGTTTTGTGTGATATGTAAGTTATATCTTTTTTTTCCATCCTCACCTGAGGATATTTTTCCATTGATTTTCAGGTAGAGTGAGAGGGAGGGAGGGAGAGGGAGAAAGAAGGATCAATGTGAGAGAGACACACAGACTGGCTGCCTCCCGCAAGACCAACCTGGCTGGGGATGGAACTGCAACTGAGGTAGTACCCTTGACCGCAATTGAACCCGCATCTCTGCGGTCTTCGGGCCAGCGCTCCTACCACTGTGCCAAACCAGCCAGGGCTGTAAGTTATATCTTAGTAAAACTATTTTATATTACATTAGTCATATATGTAAAATTCTTGGAATAATGCCTGGCATATAGCAAG